GTGTGTGTGTGTGTGTGTGTGTGTGTGTGTGTGTGTGTGTGTGTGAACTGAATATTACTAAGTTAGTGCAAATAGTAAGAAAAGTTGTGTTGGTCAGTTTCTTCTTTGCTGTAACAAAATGTATTGTCAATAAATATTTTGTTAGAAAGTATGTTTGTTTGTTTCCTCTTAAATGTTGCCAAGTTTAATAGCAGTTTGCTACATTTAGCTTTTACTAGACTTTTGCACTTTTAGTTTCCTGTTAGACTTTTGCTACTTTTAATTTTTAATTAGCTTTTTGCTACTTGTTTTTAGTAAACTGTCATTGTCATCTTTTAGCCAGACATTTCCTGTTTTCAACAAGTTTGGCTACATGCAGTTTTAATAGGCCTTTTACCATTAGCTATAATTTAGCTCATTTAGCTTTTAGCTCATGTTCTGTTATTTTTTCTTTTCCAACTCGGTTTCAGCTTGAACAAATCGGTCATTTATCTGAAAGCCTTCACTCTGGATGTTTGCAGAAAAGTCCTGTTGTGGTGTTTCGTGATCGCGGAGCAGCAGAGGCTGAACTGTCGCACTCGTCTATATTTAGAGGCGTCGTCACCGGAGGCTGAAAGACTGACGCAGTTATTAGTTGTCACAGAGCCATGCAGAGCCATGCCAGCAGGTCTGGGGGTCAGTGGTGCACGGCACCAGCTGTTCTGGTTGAGCCCATAAAGGCATGTTTGGAGTTAGACAAACCACACCAGTCCGTTCATCCACCGTGCACTTCTGCATTACCCAAAGCAACGCTGCCTCTGCTTTGTCCTCCTCATCCTCGTGTCTTTGTGGACTGCAGGAACCAGCCAGGGGCCGCAGAGCCGGGTCAAACCTGCTCGTTATCAGGCGGCAGGGGTCCGATCTGTCCGAGCAGCCCTCAGCACACAGCACGGGGGCAGTTGTACCGCTCTGCTGGAGTGAAAGACACGTCACTGAGCCTAGTTACAGCCGTTGACGATGAACTTCTCTGGACCGTGTCCTTCAACAGGGTGACACTGTTTCTCGTTATATTTTGCCATCCTAACATGAACGTGCTGCAGCGACGTCTCCACTCGTCGTCTCCCAGCTGCTCTAGCTGGAGTCGGTCTTCACACATTTTGTCTCTGCCCCAGAGGTTCTCAGGTTGTCCTCCAATGATCTTTGGACGGCTGTGCCCCGACAGGCCAGAAACAATTACCAAACACTTCTGCACGGTCCTCCATCCTGGTCCTCCATCCTGGTCCTCGAGGGCCACGCTCATGCACGTTTGATGTTTTTACACCCTCTTCAACTTCTGCTGCAGCCTGTTAATCCCCCGTTGATTCAACGGGTGTGATGGAGCAGAGAAACATCCAAGACATGCAGGATGGTGGTCTTCCAGGACCAGGATCCAGGACCACTGCTTAAAGGAACTCTCTGATGAGCGAGTCCAGCTGCAAGTTTACCGTCTTTGATTTGAGGCCCTGAATGTTGTAAAATGTATTTGACGCTTTAGATTGGCTCCTGGAAACCAGTGTGAAGAAGACTGCTGTGGACTGGAACCATTTCAGTTCTCACAAATATTTACAAAAATTACCTGATAAATCTAGAAGAGAAACGAGCCAGGTGACCTGAGCAGGTCTTCAGTCCATCACAGGGACACCTGGACATGTCTCAAGTCCATCACAGGGACACATAGAGACAATTCAGAATCACCAGTCAGTCTAACATGCATGTTTCTGGTCTGTGGGAGGAAACTGGAGTACCTGGAGAGAACATACAAACTCCACCCAGGAAGACGTCTGGTCGGGATTTGAATTGAGGTGACCTGCTCGCTGAGAGGCGGCAGCTCCACCAGCTGATCCACCGAGCAGCTACAATATGATTTATTGTTTACAGTTGAGACGTGTTGTACTGTTGCACGTCACGCAACGTCACGCAACGTCACGTAGCGTCACGTCACGCAACGTCACGTCACGCAACGTCACGCAACGTCACGCAACGTCACGTCACGCAACGTCACGTCACGCAACGTCACGTCACGCAACGTCACGCAACGTCACATGTCGTTTGTGGCGTTTTAAACAAGCGCTCGTCACGCCTCCATTTATTACTGCAGAGCTGTCGATGTGCGTCAGTCCTTTCAGCAAACACGTTTGTGTGACTGGCCTCACATTTGATATATTTATACTCTTCAGACTGACGTGGTCGTCAGGCTGAAGTGTCTCACCTCAGCAGGCGACGGGGGCTGAGGGGGGGTGTCCTCAAAGGTCTGTGAGGGAGCCTCTCCTTCAAACTGCTCCCGTAAACGCGCCACTTCCCGCTGCAAGGCGCCAACTTCCTGCACTTGTGCCTGAGCGCTGGCCTCCAGCTCCACCTTCTGTCCAATTAGCGCTTTGCCCTGAGCCTCCACCACAGAAATCTTATGACGTAGGTCGTGGTTGATCTTCATGAGGCGGGACTGCTGCTGTTGGAGCTGCAGGACCACATAAGAGAAGGTTAAAGACCTGCAGTGTGTTCCTGACATCCTGGTGCGTTCATAGGTCTCACTGCTTCTATGTCCTCGTTCTTCAGCGTGACCTCACGGTCCTTGGCCCGGATCTCGTCTCTCTGCTTATCCACCACCTCCTTCAACTTCATCATCACCTGCTTCTCCCTCTCGGTCATACCTGGACACCCCGAACAGAGGAGCAGAAATCAAACGGATCATTATCTGTTTATTCTCAGCGGTTGATGAGAGGAAGAGGTGTGTGTGTGTGTGTGTGTGTGTGGAGTCCTGCAGGTGTGCCGTGCACTGAGGCGGTTCTGTGCACGGTGTGTACGGGTCTCTGTGGTCTCTTTGTGAGACGGCAGAGCGAGACCAGCCTGCAGTCGGACACAGAGACGTCTCTTTGTGCGTCTACGTTTGTACAAAACACAGACGACAAACGTGCAGCGACTCACAAGAACTGAACGACCTTTAAACTACATTTAGATGAAAAATACTAAAAATT